TGTCAAAAATTTAGCCAATGCCATATCATAAATTCATGGTGTAAAATGTAAATGCTGCATTGTAATGTCAAAATGTTGATGTATGCTTACTATATCATATGCCTTGGCAGATGTGCATTATGCTGTTGTGTATTATGCTAGATAGCTTTTTTAACTCTAATTTGATTCATTATCTTATCTTGTATGATTTTCATACTTCTTAATATTTAAATACTTTGATTTTTCAATTAAGGTTTGAACTCAAAAATATTTTTAAAAGGGTTTATTAGAATTCCAAACTTAAATTAAAAATAATTTATTAACCCTTTTTCTTTCATGTCAAATTACTAGAAATAATTAGCTCTTAAATACTATAAAGGTATGTTATGTATAGTATGTCTACATAATGTCAAGGTAGACATTACATAAAGCCTATCACCTTGCACCTTACATCTTAAGCCTATACCCTTACACCCGAAATCTGTGACCCTACACCCAAGTTTATAACCTTACACCAAAACCTCTAACTTTTATCCTTAGAAAATTCCTTGTAATTTACTTGCCTTTGGTGTTACTTTCAGGATAATAAGTTATATTTTCACGAAATTTGCACCTTTATTATGTGTAAAATTCTTTATTATTTTTTTATTCTAATTCACCATGACTTTCAGGATAATTGATAGTATTTTTGTATTATCCAGGGAAAAACTAATAAGATTGCTCATGCTAATTCTCCCCAATCACCAAACTAAGTAATTAATCAAATTGGTCAAACCATATAATGGATTCCCAAGTTTTCAATATTTAAAATACTCTTATACACTTTCAATGTTCCAAATTAGAGTTCAAAATATATGCTGAAGCCTGAGAATTGAAGAAAGAATCAAAACATTTACATATAACTTTAAAATAGTGAACTGTGTAGAAAACAACACATATGCTACAGCTCAACACTCTTGCACTATAGTGTGTTGGCTCTGTGCCATGGCCAGAGTGTGAGGCATCATATATCATTGCACATTGCACAATTTTGACAACAAATTTTGCTATCAAATGATAGCATCTGGGATGAAATTTTGACGTGTCTCATTTCTCCATCCATCGTTCAATTGAGGTGATCTAAATATCTCCAGAGAACTTTCTTCTAGCTCAAGCTAATGGTAAAAGTTTCATAATCAAATTATTTTTCTATTAAAAGTTGGATACCTAATACAAAACTCACACTTTTTTCACATTAACTTACATCCAAGGTGTTCGAACTCTAACAAATGTGCCAAAAGCCTATACTAACCCTTAGACTATGCTTAATGGGTTATTTACTTGTGCAACACGCCATAGCAAATCAAATACACATATCACACAAATTTGTCACTCAACCCCTTGATTTATAGAAACAAGAAGGGGGAGATAACTTGTATAAAATCATAAATAACCATCCAAAATAATCTAATCACACTTTACCCTACTTGTACTAGTATTTTGGCCTTATACAAGCTTTACAAACACATGTTAACAACTCAAGGCATGAAATACATATAGTATTTTTCATTTATAATACAAGTAGCTCAAAATAATGGTATGAGTACTAGTTGGCAAATTAACCATCAAAACACCCATAAATAAAACTAAGAGGCCAACAAATAGGATTTACTCAAAATCCTATGCCTTTGGTTGTTTTTCTCAATCTTGATCTGATGAGCTAGGTCATAAAAATATTAAAGAATGAGAGGTGAATATAATTACTCAATAACTAAAGTCAACCTAACCTATACAATTGCATATCAATTAAAAATGGATGCAAACAAAAATAATTTCAAATATCATGCACATATAGCAAATATAGCCTTAGTCACAATAATAATAACCTTGTAATTGGGCATGTAACACATATCATTTGATTTATCACAAATAAATACATCTTAAGATCATAAAAATAACAATCATGTGCCCCTAAAACATACTGGACCATAATAATAACAATCATATTGCCAGAACTACATGCATGATCAATGCCAGCCTTATATCCTCCTATTACTTCTGAAATGAAACTTATGGCTATCAGTGGCTACGTCCATAATTCAGACCAACCTAGCTTTCCACTTATGAGGAGATACCAGGTTAGGATTAACTCACTCACTTGTATATTATTGTTTCCCTCAATACTAACAACCATGGAGTATCATACCCCTAATCTAGCCTCTTCATGCATCGGTAAAGACTAGTTATGTTTAAGTCTTTCATAGAACAAGTAAGACAGTACTAATCCAATGATGGGACAAAGGCTACCTCTTGATTTCAACGATCAGTGTTAAGGCAAGCTTTCAATTCAAAAGATAAACCACCAATACCACATAGATTTACTAATCTACTTCTCCCCCTAGGCGAAACTCTCACCAATAATCATACTATGCACATATCAATACCAAATATGTTAATTTAACACAACTAATAACCTCATATCACATTCACATCATTTTCTCACTCCTACATACTCTATATGTTAAATATCACATAATGCTCATTTCCATAATATCATATTCGTAAGCCATCATCATGGGTCATGAGAATAATCGTGCATATCATTATTCCAAATAACTCAGCATAATATTATACATACAATCACCACATTGCCAAAAATTTACACCAAAAAGTTTTCAAATACCCAACAAGTTTTAAATAATCACATTCAACAAATAACTAATAAAACAAACTAGTTAGTTACCTTAAACTTTTCAGAGGTCAAAGGTAAATTTTCAACATTAATACTCCACATGCTCCTTTTTATCAAAGTCATAATCTCACTACCCCTTATACTCAATGAGTTTATTAGATCCCAACAACTTACATTGTCATTAATGGACCATTAAACTACTATTAATAACCATCAAACATTCCCAACAACCTTATTTATTGTCATTTTCGGGTACTAATGGTTCCCAACCTCTAAAAACTCACAAAACCATAAATGTGGGATTTAAATACTCTAAATAAATCTCATTATATCCATTTTAGTCAATAGGTTTGGACACATAGCTCGTATAGATCGAAAATCACTCTCTCAACTCAAACCCTAACTTTAACCTTTATGAAAATAGAAGGAAAGAAAAGGGAAAGACATAATGTACTTACCTTGTAAGTTAGAAATCTCTAAAATGTCTCTAATGGTCCCTAAGTTTGTGCCCTAACAAAGTAATGGGCGTGCTCTCGTTTTCTCTTCACTCCTTTCTTCTAATTTTTCAAACAAACACAAACTGGTTTAAGTAAGATTTCGTTATGCATGGCATGGAGAGATTCATCCCTCATTACTTGCCTTTATGCATCATGGCTGATGTTCCTCACACCGCAGCATGTGGCACAGAAGTTCCTTCTTCAATCCTTTCTTACCTTTTAATGCTCAGATAGCCTTACTTCACTTCAGACCTATGTTAAAGGCTAAAATCACAATCAATTATACAAATTAGACCTCTCTAGTCACACACCACATTATTAAACTAATTACCCTCATTAATCTTAATTAATCAAGTTTAAATTTCTAGGATGTTATAATTTTCATGTAACTTAACTACTCATGGAGGTGTAAAGGCTAAGATATATGATAATTTCATGAAATATAAAGAAATTACATGATATAATAACTGGTCGTTTGCTAATCCCTTGTTCTCATTCTACTTTAATGATAAACAATATAATGAAAACATTATCCCACATAATAACTCAAGCTATACGCTAGAACTCAAGTTTCTTGGTTGCCTTTGCTATTATTCTGCTTTATTCTATTATGTTGTTCAGAAGTAGCTCATAAGAAGAGGAAAGCAAACTAAAGTGTTGTGCCTCTATCATAGGCCAGTAAATTTTTATGACAAGAGATAGATCTATGAAATTTCAAACCTAATGTGCAACACTTCCTAAACCTTGTTCGACCATATCCTTGCTCACATTGCCAACCACCAATTGCTCCTCCATCGACACTGTCCGTCACAGCCAATTGTTGCTTCGTCTCTCTGGTGATTCTCCAATTATGTGTGGCGAATCTTTTTTTTTATTTTGTTTGTTTAACATAAAAGGGCAATTCAGTCATTTGGTTACATTGTTTTCTAAATGTTAAGATCAATTTGGTTCTTAAAATGGATTTGGTCCCTGACAATAATTTGTCTCTCGAGGAGCTCTCTTTCTACAATTTTCTCAATGTTTTATTCCTACATAAATTACTTTAGAATTTACTATCTTGTGTGTGTTATTGTTTGTCCTTTCCATGTTAAGAATGTAAAGAAAAATTATTTTATCCTAACATTTATTATCTTGTACATATTACCCTATGTCCATGCATGAAAATACAATGTGAAATTCACAAGAACCATGGCTCACCACAAGCTCCCAAGTTTTTTCTTTAAATATAGAAACATGAGTTTTGCATGAAAGTGATTTGTATTGTTTATAGTTTATAAATAATATTGTTTTTTAATAAATTTTATACTATATAGAATTTTGTATAATTTAAATAAGAATAATTTCATACCCCATCTGTCCCAGAATTTAAGCTAAATCAAGTGGCTAATCTAATGTACATTTTTAAAGGTGTGCATATAGTTTATATCTCCTTTACATTATCAAAATAAGATTTAGATAAATTAAATTTTATTCTTGAATTTTTTGAATAATATTTAAATAATATCTAAATAATTTTTATTAAATTTGAAATTTTTTCTTTTTTACAAAATCTGAACAATTTAGATGAGATGAACATTGAGTGATCCCTGTTGTTAAAATCAACTTAACTAATTAGTATGAAAATAGACTGTTTATTATAGTTTTGAGGCCCAATAGATGTTGGGCCTTTAATTGATCTTCAAGCTTTTTCCTAGCTATGATATGATGGATGTTGGATCACAAGAGAAAGCCCAAACACAAAAAAAAAAGAACAAAATAGACACCCACGCGCTGAGAAAACACGTATCTTTTACATGCTCGACACGTCATCAGAAACCTCTGATTCAGACTTCTGAATTCTAACGATAAACTAGTCATTTTTCGATGGTAACGCCTCGCCGCTCTGAAAATGATTGAATGAGTGACTGTGACAGAGTCGAGTGCCACATCGGGCCGTTTCTTCACTCTGGACTCGAAAGATCTATATCCAAACTTCATCCATAAATCTGGCGAATAATCCGATCTAGAGGCCGTAAGTTCTTTCAGATCATGGCTGTAATTTCGAGCTGACGTTAAGGAAATGAATCTTTCCCTGTCCTCGGCGACTTCTTCCACCTTGTCTTCTTTGTCTTCATCATCGTCATCATCCTCATCTTCTACGTCGTGGTTCTCCGGAATTGTTCGAGGCCGTTCTGACGGATCACGCAGTGTCAAGATGGTGAATAACTCCACTGCTAGCACCAGTGATGTCGCCGGTCCCGTTGTCCGAAAGAATCAGTTCCGAGGGGTCTTATTCAAGTACGGTCCAAATCCTATTCAGGTACTTCTTTCATGCTTTGTTGATTTACAGTTTGAGAAGTGAGGATTGAGAGTTGAAACTTCGGATTTGACTTCAATTGGTGCACGATTTAGTCTCAGGCATTCTAAATGTAGCGTTTTGCTCATTTCAGTAGTCTTCTGGATCGCTTTTAGTATCATTGTTCACTTCCCTTGAAGTGTGCTTGAGCTTGAATCACTGTTGATTGTTAGCACCCACTTCTGCGTTGTCTTCAAAATCTCTCATTTCCCAGAGATTGAGACATTCTGCTGCACCAATTCCATTTTATGGTCGCTGCGTTGGGAGTAATGGAACAATCAGAGGACATTTGGGCATGTGGTCAGGTCTTGAGGCAACAAAAGCAACTTTATAGAAACATTAAGTATCCTATTGTCTACGAATGCATTTTAGTAATTTCATGGAAGAAATAGAAAGCAAAAAAACCATAAATGCAGGAAGCTTCATTTTTGGGTGCCGAACAATTGAATCTTTCGACTCAACAATACTTAACATTAGGCACCATTTATGATATGAATGTTTATATCATTTATACGGGAAGTGGAGTATTTTTTTTTTTTTTTTTTGCAAGATGAGAACGGTTGGATTAATTGTTAAGAGGTTCATACGTGCCTCATTGTCTAAAATTTTATTAGTTTGGTAATGAAGAAGGGCACCAGCAGAACTTTTCTATATATTCTTGCAATATGATGAATTTTTGCCTTTTTTCCTTGATGTTAAAACACGTTGCAGTAAAGCTGGGGGCTTTCAATGTGAACGTTTATTGCTCTTTATAATGAAGATATTACTGCTGTTCATTGTAACAGCAGTGGTGGTTTGCATTTCACATGTTTGTATGTTCTTTGCCGTGCACACTTGGACGTTCAATTTAAATAGTACTTATGAGTTTTTTCCCTCTGAATGTCAGTCTGTCTTTGAAAATAATTAATCTTAATTCTGGAAATGGCTTTATTGTTTGAACAACTTTAGAGGCTTCTTCAGAAAGTTGAGGCATGATTTTCTTCTAGTTGATCTTCCCTTGTGAACCATGCCTTTTCAGAACATAAAATGGTGACAGCTTTTTGGTGATTCCTTTTATTTACAGGTTGCATTTAAGACTGGTGACTACAAACAACAAGTTATTTTCATTGGTGGATTGACTGATGGTTTTCTTGCCACAGCGTATGTTGAATATTTTAAAATTTCAACCTATCAATAGGTTTTCTTATCTCTTAGGGTTGGTCTGTATGAGGATGAGTTTATATTGTCTGTGTCATTTGATTGATAACCTCTTTGAATCAAAACATCCCATGAACAAATTTGACTGCATGCAAATATGTGAACCAATGAAGCGTTTTCATGTGACATCCATTCATTATCTTCTTGCAGATATTTGGAACCTCTAGCAATTGCTCTAGACCGTGAGAAATGGTCTCTAGTTCAATTTCTCATGTCATCTTCATGTAGTGGATATGGCACCTCCAGCTTGCAACAAGTAAACTATTACTTAATCCTTATCTCTATTATAGCAGTAGTACTATAATATTCTACAAATAAATTACAGTGAAAATGTCATTCTCCTTTACATTATTTATCATAAGCAACATTTCCGGTCTTTGTCTTTGTACTTATATTCAATCATTGTGGTGAAAAATTAATTTAGCTTAAGCAAACCCCTCCCTAAAGTTGCTAACATTCAGGTCAAGGTATTCTTTTGACTCCAAAGTTTGTTGCCCTTGTCTTTCACTACTATATTCATTTTACATGAAAATATAGACTTGAGGTGTGTTGTATACGGAAAATGTTGGCTCTTTTTTGGTGGAGAAATTTTTTAAGGTCATTAAACAAAGACTGGTCAATATGTTTATTTTTTTTCTATTTTTTAATCAAATACTCAAAGTAATTTATTCTTCTGTTATTTTAATGCCTATGACCTCATGCAACATATATTCACATTTTATGTTTTTGTTAAATAAGGAAAATTGGGAAAAGTACCGTATGGCTAGGAAGGAAACTAAGAGAGCTGTGAGTGAAGCTCGTTCTAAAGCTTTTAAAGAATTTTATAAAAGTCTTGAGACAAACTGACAAAGGAAGGAGAACGAAACATTTATGAGATTGCTAAGAATAAGAAAATAAAATTAAAAGATCTAGAACAGATAAGGTATATAAAGGATGAAGAAGGAAGAATTTTAGTTACAGATGATGAAATTAAAAATAAATGGGAGACTTACTTTTTCAAACTTTTCAATGATAGAGAGGGTTTGTCTATAACTTGGAGGATTTAGTAACTTGTGAAGGAGAAAAAAATTTATCATTCTATCGAATAATATGTGATAAGGAGGTAAAGGAAGCTCTTAAGAAAATGGCAAATGGTAGAGCCAACAGACCTGATTGTATATCTATTAAAGTGTGGAAATGTTTAAGTGAAGAAGGGGTAAAATGGTTAATTAAGTTATTTAATGTGATTTTACGATCCAAGAAAATGCCTGACGAGTGGAGGAGAAGTACATTAATTCCTATTTATAAAAATAAATGGGATATTCAGAATTGTACTAACTATAGAGGGATTAAACTCATGAGCCACACAATGAAATTATGGGAGAAAGTAATTGAGCATAGGATGAGATTGGAAACAAGTATTTTTAACAATTAGTTTGGTTTTATGTCAGGTAAATCAACTACAGAGATGATTTATCCACTAAGGGGATTGATAGAAAAAGTATCGTTGTAAAGATAAAGATTTATATATGATTTTTATTAATTTGGAAAAAGCCTATGACCGTATACCAAGAAAAGTACTTTGGAAAGCTTTAGAAAAGAAGGGAGTATGGATTGCTTATACTAAAGTTATACAAGATATGTATGAGGGGATAAAAACTAGTGTAAGTTCGTCTGATGGTCAAACAAAGGACTTTCCTATAAAGATTGGATTACATCAGGGATTATCTTTAAGTTCTTATCTGTTTAACTTGGTCCTAAATGTTTTGACAAAATATATTCAAGGAGAAATTCTCATATGTATGCTTTTCGCGGATGATATAGTTCTTATAGTAGAGACAAGAGAAGAGATTAATTGTAAACTTGAGTTATGGAGGAGGACATTGGAGTCAAAAGGTTTTCGTCTAAGTAAAAGTAAGATAGGGAATATTTATATTGTAAATTTGGTAAAAGACTAGTCAACAGTAATTTGGAAGTGAAATTAGGAAATCAAATTATACCTCAAGTGGAAAAGTTTAGATATTTAGGAGCCATTATTCAAAATGATGGCGAAATTAATTGAGATATTTCACATAGGATTCAAGTTAGGTGGTTTAATTAGAGAAAAGCTAAAGAAGTTATTTGCGACTGTAAGGTGCCTAATAAACTTAAAGTTTTATTGTACTGCTATCAGATAGGCTATATTATGTAGTAGTGAATACTGGGCTCTAACAGGATTGCAAGAGCATAAAGTTGGAATAGCAGAGATGAGAATGTTATGATGGATGTGTGGACATGCATGTAAAGATAAAATTCAAAATGAGCATGATGTGAAAAAGTGAGGGTAGCACCTATTGAGCAAAAAAAAAAATGATAGAAAATCGTTTGAAATGGTTTGGGCATGTACAAAGAAGACTGTGAGAGGCACCAGCGAAAAGAGTGAAACGTATAATTTTAAGTCCTATTAAGAGAGGTAGAGGAGGATCTAAGAGAACACTCTTGAAAATTGTTGAACGCGATCTTTTAATTAATAATATTTGTAAAAGTTTAATCAATGATAGAGCACAATGGCGTCTTGCAATCCATATAGCCGATCCCACCCAGTGGGATAAAGGCTTGTTGTTGTTGTTGTTATTGTTGTTGTTAAATACATTTATCATCCGGGCAAAACTTGACTGTCCAAATAATTAAAATCTTAGATACATGATGGAAATTTTACTTAGAGTAGGTGATGCCTTGAAGAATCAAAGTGTTGCCCTATCGCCTGCATAAAGTTTGTCTATGTGGCATTTTTTTGGTTGTTAGTGGATTATTAAGCATTTCTAGCTTCAACTTGAGATCACTGTGATACACCAAGGATAGATGCTTATGGAAGCAAGATTTTTGCTATCATACATAGGTTGGTTGACTCTTGACTGTCTTATTCAAAGATATGAATAAATAGTAGAAACAATTGAGGTAATATCAATCTTGACATCTGAAATTTGGGCAATAAAATGGGTATAGGTAACTCAAACTTTTGGTTTCTTTCTTAGCTAGCCCAGTAACATGGCATGATCTCTGGCCTGTGTGGTTTGACCCATGGAAAGTTATGTCCTTCCACTCACCACAAGTGAAAAAAAGATATGAAATATAAAATCTATATGTTATCGTTATTTAACATTATTTATCCTTATTATTACTTGTTTTATTCAAGTACACAATATTTCATATCCACAAAATCACCTTGTTCTATTCTACTTTCTTTCCATTCCTTTCCATTTTGTTTTTTCGAACGACCTGTTAGTCTTTGATGAATGTGACCTGAGATGTTCTTACAGTATTTTGTCGTTCTTTATATTGGACTTTTATTGTTGTCAGCCATTTTGTATCTATATTCTCAATTTTTAATGTCTATTTTTAACAGTATTATATTGTGATTCTCTGGAGAGTTTAACTCGAGAGTGTGTTGCTTATATTTCCATCTTATTGATGAGATTGATGTGATGTTGCTTGAATTTTAAGATATCTGGTTGAATTCATCTTTAAGGATGCCAAGGAGCTGGATCAGCTGATAAATTATTTAATTAACAAAGAAGATTCTGAAGGTGTGATACTGCTTGGACATAGTACTGGCTGTCAGGTTATTTATTATTGCATTTAAATCCTGAGCCATACTTCAACTCTTTTGTGGCAACTATTATTTGGCGAGCAGGTGAAATGAACTTATGTCTAATTTGGACATGTTATTTAGGATATTGTGCATTATATGCGCACAAATGCTGCATGCTCCCGTGCAGTTCGTGCTGCCATCCTACAGGTACTTGCTCATTAATAATAAACACTTGCCCTGTAATTGGTTGGAGGGGTTTTTCTTTCTTTCTATTTTTCTGGGGGGAGGGGAGGGGCGAGGAGAGGGTGGGGATTTTGCTTCCCTGTGCTTGTGCTTGTTTGTTTTAAAAAAAAAAAAAAAGGAGAGGCTCTTCCCTCATGAATCGGGGGGATTTAGAGGGGGAGCATCCAATTTATGTATAATTTCTGAAACAACAACAACAACAAGCCTTTATCCCACTAGGTGGGGTCGGCTACATGGATTGCAAGACGCCATTGTGCTCTATCATTTATTAAGCTTTTAGAAATATTATTAATTAAGAGATCACGTTCAACAACTTCCAAGAGTGTTCTCTTAGGCCTTCCTCTACCTCTCTTAATCGGACTCAAAGTTATATGTTCCACTCTTCTCACTGGTGCCTCCCTTGGTCTTCTTTGTACATGCCCAAACCATCTCAACCGATTTTCTACCATTTTTTCCTCAATAGGTGCCACCCTCACTTTTTCACGTATGTGCTCATTTCGAATTTTATCTTTACGTGTATGTCCGCACATCCATCGTAACATTCTCATCTCTGCTACTCCAACTTTATGCTCTTGCTGTCCCGTTAGAGCCCAGCATTCACTACTATATAACATTGCCGGTCTGATAGCAGTACGATAAAACTTTCCTTTAAGTTTATTAGGCACCTTACGGTCACAAATAACTCCTTTAGCTTTTCTCCAATTAAACCACCCAGCTTGAATTCTATGTGAAATATCTCCACTGATTTTGCCATCATTTTGAATAATGGCTCCCAAATATCTAAACTTTTCCACTTGAGGTATAATTTGATCTCCCAATTTCACTTCCAAATTATTTTCAAATAGTCCTTTACCAAATTTACAGTATAAATATTCCGTCTTACTTCTACTCAGACGAAAACCTTTCGACTCCAATGTCCTCCTCCATAACTCAAGTTTGCAATTAACCTCTTCTCTTGTCTCTACTATAAGAACTATATCATCCGCAAAGAGCATACATTTCGGGATTTCCTCTTGAATATGTTCCGTTAAAACATTTAAAATCAAGTTGAACAAATAAGGACTCAGAGATGATCCCTGATGTAGTCCAATCTTTATAGGAAAATTCTTTGTTTGACTACTAGGCGTTCTTTTACTAGTTTTTACCCCCTCATACATATCTTGTATGGCTTTAATATAAGCAATCCGTACTCCCTTTTTTTCCAACGCTTTCCAAAGCACTTCTCTTGGTATACGGTCATAAGCTTTTTCCAAATCAATAAAAATCATTTTTAGATCTTTATCTTTACAACGATACTTTTCCATTAATCCCCTTAGTAGATAAATCGCCTCTGTAGTTGATCTACCTGGCATAAAACCAAATTGATTCTCAGAAATACTTGTCTCCAATCTCAACCTGTGCTCAATTACTTTCTCCCACAATTTCATTGTGTGGCTCATGAGTTTAATCCCTCTATAGTTAGTACAATTCTGAATATCTCCTTTATTTTTATAAATAGGAATTAATGTACTTCTCCTCTACTCATCAGGCATTTTCTTGGACCGTAAAATCACATTAAATAACTTAGTTAACCATCTCACCCCTTCTTCACCTAAACATTTCCACGCTTCGATAGATATACAATCAGGTCCGTTAGCTCTACCATTTGCCATTTTCTTAAGAGCTTCCTTTACCTCCTTATCACGTATTTTTCGATAGAATGACAAATTTTGTTCTCCTTCACCAGTTACTAAATCCTCCAAGTTACTAGATGAATCCTCTCCATCATTGAAAAGTTTAGAAAAATAAGTCTCCCATCTATTTTTAATTTCATCATCTGTAACTAAAATTCTTCCCTCTTCATCCTTAATACACCTTACCTGTTCTAGATCTCTTGATTTTCTTTCCCTACTCTTGGCAATCTTATAAATATTTTGCTCTCCTTCCTTCGTCTCAAGGTTCTTATAAAATTCTTCAAAAGCTTTGGAACGAGCTTCACCCACAGCTCTCTTAGTTTCCTTCTTAGCCATACGGTACCTCTCCCAATTTTCCTTATTGTTACACAAATGTATGGCTTTAAAACAGTTCTTCTTATACTTGATTTTGTCCTGTACACTATTATTCCACCACCAAGACTCCTTATCTCTCGGACCAGAACCTTTCGATTCTCCCAAAACTACTTTTGCAACCTCCCGTATCTTTTTAGCCATATCCTCCCATATGATGTTAGCACTTCCCTGAGAATCCCAAATTCCTTTATCCAAAAGATTTCGTTTGAAAATATCTTGCTTCTCACCTTTTAATTGCCACCACCTAATCCTTGGTGTTACTACTTGTCGACGTTTTTGGATTTTACTCATAATACACACATCAAGGACTAGGACCCTATGTTGTGTCGTTACAGCATCTCCAGGGATCACCTTACAATTTTTACAAAGTTTTCTATCTGTGTTCCTAACCAAAAGAAAATCAATCTGCGACCTTGAGGCTCCACTTTTGTAAGTGATGAGATGCTCATCTCTCTTCTTGAAACAAGTGTTGGCAATCTTAAAATCATACGCCAATGAGAAATCAAGAAGAGTTTGCCCTTCATTGTTTAGCTCTCCAAAACCAAAACCACCATGCACCCTCGCATACTGACCAGCTTCCCTCCCGACATGCGCATTAAAGTCTCCTCCAATAAAAATCTTTTCACTCTGTGGTATGTGTCGAATCAACCCCTCCAGATCCTCCCAAAATAATTCCTTAAGACTGGCTTCTGTCCCGACTTGCGGTGCATAAGCGCTAACAATATTAACAGTCTCACGTCCAATTATCATTTTTAAAGAAATAATTTTGTCTCCAATTCTGCTAACTTCTACAACGTTCTTCTTCCACTCCTTATCTATAATGATGCCTACTCCATTGCGTGCACTTACTTTTCCTGTATACCAAAGTTTAAAACCTTGAATATCCTTAGCTCCTTCTCCACGCCATTTTGTTTCTTGCAAGTAAAGGATATTGATTTTCCTTTGAATCATAACCCCTACAACCTCTACAGATTTACAATTTAATGTCCCAACATTCCAAGTACCAAATCTAATTTTGCTCTTATGGACTAACTTCTTTAGCCGCGTGCGTCCAGAATGACGCGGTAGCCCTTGCTCATTTAACACTACATCCGGGCGCCGATGCAGTGGCTCTAACTCACTTATCACTGTACTCGAGCCATGCAGCGCGTTACTTACGGGCAACGACCTAGCATTAACATTATAACGTCTATTGTCCATGTTCATGATAGATTCAACAAATTTTTACATTGGCTGTTGATGGCCTAACACAACCCTCCTCCTTTACCCGGGCTTGGGACCGGCTATAAACATAGGCGGAGTTGTATAATTTCTAAAACATGCTCACTTTTTTTCTTAATTCCACAAGTACCCTTAATGTCCCTATAAACCAGCTGTGTTCTCATATTGCAGCCCCTTCAATGATACGGAGAAGAACCTCTTTGTACTAGAAACACGTCCATTTTTAAGAAAAGAAAAAGAAGTGGGAGAGAGAGAGAGAGAACAAAAGAACTTAAACTTGGAAGGGTTATAATAGTCAATTTAGATATATTCTCCTCCCTTCCCCTTCCAAACCAAGCAATGAGACATTAAAATCCCTCCTGTGCTCTCTTCTCCAACCAAACCAAATAACAGGACCTCTGTCCAACCAAACATGCCCTTGTTGATCATTGTGCCGTGCAGTTCTAGCACTGAAACGATGATTGGTTCATTCCTACACCATGCATATTTCTCTTGCTAAAATTTGTTTGGAACTGTTGGTGAGCATTGGGTTTGTTCTTTCATCTCAGAGCAGTTTCCCTGGATGCATTTTACAGTTTTAATAGGGATAGGGAGGCCAGTATCCTGTGGCATTGAGCCAATTTTGTAGTTTCCTTGTGTGCATTGATGGAGTGGGATGCCTACATCTTCAAAGCCGTATATCCCCCTTCATTAATTAGATGGTTTCAATTTTTGGTGGTTTTTCCATGGTATGCTAGGGGAATGTCCATTTCTGATATGCGGAGAGATTGGTTTGGTTACCTTTGTTACTTTGAGGTATCTTGGCTCTTTTTTTTTTTTTTTTTTTAGCTTCTCAGAATTGGAGGACATCTCACCCTCCCTCTAGTTGTACTTTCTTTCTCTTTAATTAGTTCTTATTTTATTGGATAAAGAGTGTTATGTCTTGCAATTGCTTCTGTTCTCTCACTTAAACTATTTTGGTTATGCCAATAAAAATGACCAGGCTCCAGTTAGTGATCGGGAATATCAGGCTACGCTGCCCAAGACAGCTTCTATGATTGACTTAGCTGCTAGTATGATAAGAGAAGGGCGAGCTTCTGATTTAATGCCAAGAGAAGCAGATTCTTCTGCGCCAATAACTGCCTATAGGTGAGCTTGCTTAACATTAGTGTTGTAAGAACAGCACGTACTGAAATATGCGTTGACTGGAACTGACGCAGAATTGTTACTGAATTCCAATGTAGCATAATTCAAAATATTTGGACATTGATGTATGTTTGTCAATTATAAAAGCAGGTTGTTGCTTCTCAAGTAGTCTAAACATATGCAAATTTTGACGTAGAAATTCTCCTCTTTTATAACAAGCCCTTTTTTTCCATTGAAGTTTATAAATTATTTGATAGTTGAAACAAATTTACTTGTGTGAATTGATCCCTGCAAAGGATGCTTTTGGTTTTGAGAACAGGGAAAGGCAACCTCACCTCGTTTAAGATGGTGGTATGTGGGGCATTGGGATTATGGGATTGGCATTAAGAATTTTACCTGCTTAGGTTCTGATGGGCATGGTATTTTGGTGGAGCTATTGGGACGGGATCTTAGTTCTGTGATCCATGGTCACTCCTATTTTTGTTTTGTTGCTCCTTTCGCCCTCCTTCTTCGGCCTCCTCTACCTCTCCGTAGTTAGGCACTGAGTGGAAGCTATAGAAAAGGTTGTTGTCTTCTCATGCTATTGCTTCCGTTATAAAGAACCAATACTTTTGCAGGTATCACTCCCTTTGTTCATATAATGGTGATGACGATATGTTCAGTTCCGACTTTAGTGAGGATCAGTTGAAAATGAAACTTGGGCACATGTCTTGCACGCACTGCCAGGTAAGCATGTCTCTCTAGGTCTTTTTCTGGGTGCTTGGTTAGTGAGATCCCAAAACTATACATCCTTGAGTTAAAATTGAATCTTGCTGAAATTGAATTCTTTCAAAATGAAAGGGATACTGCTTTTGAAATTTTAGTTGATGGACTTGCATAGATAGCTACTATCAACTCATTAACAGCAGCTCTTTTTGTTGCCCTGAATGGAAATTAGGAAAGTATAAGTTGATGTTGGCATTTGTCATGAAAAGATGCCTTGAGTCATTAAAATGCATGTAAGTGAACTCAGTGCTAAGAAAATAAAGTTAATTGGTATTCTAATTTAAGGTAGAGAGGGAGGGGGATAATTAAGAATTACTTGGCAAAGGGGGAGGGTTGATATTTTTGAAATGCCATGGTGTTTTGCAGGTTATATTTTCGATGGCTGATGAATATGTGCCAGATTATGTCGATAAGAGAGCACTGGTTGAGCGGTAAATTATCTAATCCTGTCTAGTGACATGCACATAATCTTTGTTCATGCAATAACCATGGATCAGGGCGCTGTAATCTATCTCAAGCAGTATCTCCTGCGTCATAGAGGAATGAGTTATTAGGCACTCCCTCGGCTCCTATATATATATATATTATCTTGATTCTGGTGCTTGTAAATTTATAACTATTTTCTCGCTCATCATAAATTGAAACTTAAGGTAAAAAGAGAGAACAATATATATTTTTATGAAAATAAGAATTTTATTGGTATGTGAATAATTGTTAAAGGCCAGAGAAGTATATATAGAACCTGAGGAAGCATATTGACTATTGTTTGATATGTTGATTGGGTGCATTAAAAAAACATGCAGATTATGCAGAGCGTTGGGAGGGGCCGAAAAAGTAGAGATAGAACATGGGAATCATTCCCTCTCTAACAGAGTGGCAGAAGCTGTCCATGCTATCATTGACTTCATCAAAAGAGGCGGACCTAAAGGCTGGGATGATCCCTGGAATTAATCTCTGTTTTTTTATTACTCTTAATTTTATTCACCTGCCCTTCTTTATCGCTCTCGTTTTCTTTCCTCTATTCAACCATCATTTCATCTTTCATTTTTTTTCTCTCTCGGGATTTTTCTTTTTCTTCTACTTTTTGAGTTGCTGTGGCGCTTGTTATTTTTCAGCCTTTTATATTTTTTTCAAGTTAATACATGTTGATATATTTTCACAGTCTTTATGTAAGAACTACGTGGTGCGGAATTTAAACTCAATGTCACATTTCTTGTTACTCAAACTAGTTTTACAAAAGTCAAGAGATACTTAGGGAGATAGTTACATTTCCTTCCTATCACAGATTCACATTGCCATGAAAAGTAGTTTATTTGTCTCAAATTATAAAACAGTTTCAGAATATTAATGTTTTATTAAATAAGTTTATTTCAATATTATCATTTCTCTCTCTCTATTTAAATTCTACCCCTTTCTCTTTTAAATATATTAACTAAATAATATTTTTGAAAGTTTATATTGTTGTTGTTTAAAAAATAAGGTCGTTAAGGGTATTTAATAAGATTTATTGATATGTAAAATTTTGTTAAAAAATGTCTTATAATTTAAAATGAAGGGAGTAATTTAAAAGTTTTTATTTGAAAATAGATGAAAATCATTTTGATACTTAAATATTATTCCTTCTGGTCTTATTTGTAGGATACTTTTTAGAAATAATTTTTAATTTAAAATGTAGGATGTCTTGTAATAATTAAATTATTTTTTAAGTTTATGCTTTCTCGATTAGCGTGAAAATATTTAATATAGTTGTATTATGATTTAAAATTATGGGTATAAATGAAAGTTCATATTATTTTTTATTATATTAAGAAAAAATAACTGTTTTTATCATACATGAAATGATTAAAAGTGTTCTATAATAAAAATTAAAAAGAGTATTAAATGTGCAGATAATGGTGGGAGGAATGGAAAGAAAGTTAGATAAAGCTTAATGCTTGTGGATTGTGCAAGAAAAGGAAGATTGAAGGCGTAGAAAAAGGTGTATGGAATTTAAGTGTTGTTAACTGCCTATGAATACAATGGTTATGTTGACAAAAATGTATATCATGAACCAACAAGAGTCAGGCTTAACAAAAAGTGGTTAGTATCTTATAATATAGCAAATTAATATTCAAATTCTCATTAAAAAAGGTGCTTATGTTTAGTATTTGATCATGCCTTGAATGGGATTGCCTTTAATAGAAAGATACTTATAAGCAATTAAAAAAATATATACCATGAAAGAAACTTTCAGAAAAAATGGCAAAAACTTCATTAAGTTATTAACATTAATTAATACATCTAATTGTTTAAATGAGACATTTCATTTTTAAGTGGGTTACCTAATTTTCCCAAATAATTTATCTGGCTAAAGTGCACCTTTGATCCTTTAACGTATACTTTTAGTCCTTTAACTTTATACAAAATTTTATTTTAATTTCTTAATTTTATGAAATATATTTTTAGTCTTATAACCTTAATATTGAAAGGTTCATCAACCAAAAAAAAATTAACATTGAACTTTCAAATATTGAAAAAACATTCTCAAATATTAACATATTAAGTTTAATTTTTTAAAATAACAATGATTAGCTAAAAAAATAATCATTTAAAATTAATGATATTTGGGTTAAAGGACTAAGGATTGAAAAAATACTTTATAAAATTAAGAAATTAAATTAAAACATTATATAAAATTAAAGAATTAAATATACACTTTAGCCTAATTTATTTAGATTGCACAACTGATCATCCTCAATTATGACATTCTCATAATTTGTGAAATTAATTTGAACCTTTCTTTTTCTCACCAGTGTTAATGAAATCGCAGAGCACTAGTGGTGAATTTCAGATAAACTATTTTTGAAAAGTAATGTTTCAACGAAATTTCAATAATTGTGTATCTGTAATTTGAATGAGTAACTTAGTAGGGTTCTTAATTGTCAATTTCATAAATTTTTATTTTAGAGGAAGATTTATGAACTTAATCTTATATACTTAATATAGTTTTTATAAACAATCACTTCAAATATACAAGGCTAAATTTACAATTTTTTGTTTATTTGAAACTATATTTCATGCATCTTCCCTTTCATTTTCGTTTTGACTTGGTCTATGCTTGTATTTTTCATTCACCGCAAATCTGAACTTTTTAAATTAAATTTTAATGATATAGATTAATTTGTATCTTTAAAGAAGTGAAGATGAATGTAATGGAAATGTTTATCATATTATACTACTTGGCACTGCTATAATTTGTCATTATTATTGTTTAAAGTAAGGATCATTTATGCATTTAGTCAAACTGTTAATATTATTTGAAAGAGAATCTTTTTACAATTTAAATGTGTCATCTTTAAAAATATTTTTTTGTATAAATAACATTTTATCCTACTCCTAGAAAATTGGAAAAGGATAAAATTAAAATACAATAATTAACTATTCATATATTCATATAAAATAATTTATAGAAAGAACTATCAATTTATTTTTACAAGTGATATAGGGGATTAAAGTAAATTCTTGAAGAGGTCTAAACAATCACACAACTCACAAAGCATTGTGATTGTATTGTGTCCAACTATAGAAGTGGGTCTCTCCATTTCTTTTGATTTTTCTTTTCCCATCATTCATTAATTTTATCATTTAAAAAAATTATTTAATAAAATAATTTGAATGGTGGGGATGGGGGAAGTGGAGGAAAAGGAAGGGAAAAAAATGAAGAGACCCCTCTTCCGTCCAACTATGTACCTATTTGAATTTTAATTTATATCTGATAAAAATATATTTAAAAACTTTAACTATTTATTGAATTTGATAAAATTATATTTTAAATATTTTTATATTAAAAAATATGAAATATTTTTAATTAAATTTTACCCTTCAATAAAGTAATTAATTACTTTTTAAATAATCTTATCTTTTCATATTTACTCTTATTAAATATTTTATAATAAATATAAATTTATTATTAATAGGGACATTTTTAAAAAAATAATTACATTTTAAAAAATTAAAAATATTTTATATTTTTTAAAATTTAATTTTTTTAAAAATATTTTATATTTTTAAATGAAAAGAATATTTGTTTTGAATGTATTTTTAAATCTGCAATGTTGGCTCGTTGTGAATGTTGATTATTGGGATCTGTGACAGAAGCCTTGCATTTGATGGACAGCTGTAGGCAGAGGAATCAGCATAATAGCATAACCTTTGGTGGTCCCCACGTTATGATGCTGTAACTTGTCCTGGCCTGTCCTAATTCCTCAATGCATGCACGCTTTCACACTTGCGAGGGACTCTCGTGTATGATGACGTGTTTCCTCCGATTGCGCTGTACAAGGTTAAGCGTCCGTTTAAATTTCAGATGGATATAATATATTATAAAAATAATTAATTAAGTGATAGATTTTAATCATAATTAATTATATTATAATATAATGTATTTGGATATTATTTTTTTAAAATTAATTTTAATATAATTAAAGATATTTGAATAATTTAATTAGAATTAATTTTTAACTATATAAATTATTATATAATTTAATATTTAAGTACCAGATATCAATTTTTTGAAGATACAAAGTTTAACTTTTATTAAGAAAAAAAAAAGAAAAAGAAGAAAGTTTGATTTTATTTTTATTAAATTATGTGTTTTTTTTATAATTTTTTTTGGGCCTGTATTTGTAATTTCTCCCAACATTTTTGACAAACTTTTGGCCAGGAGAAAGCTTATGGAAAAACGTGCGTTTTGGCCTATAATCAATCTTTGATCATTTTCAATTGTTTGGATAAATAAGCAAAAAAAATTAATTTTAAATTCAAAACGCACGTTTTCTCTTTATCCAAACATACATTAACATCTATTCTGGTTTTACCGAAACAATCGCGCTCATTTATAAGGAGTTTTCACCAAATCATTCATTTGTTGTGACTATTATTTTTAGTGTGCGTTTGAATATTAAAAAATTTATAATTAAAATTAAAATTTAACTAAAGGTAAGAGAAAATTTTAAAATTGTAACATAATTTATATTTAAATAAATTTTTTTTCAAAGTTAAATGGATAAATTAAAATTTATTTAAATGATTTAATTCAAAATTTAATAGAGATGTATAATAATAAAAATAGATATAAATTTTTTTATATTTTGGTAATTAATTTAGTATTTTTACAAAAAATATGAAACATAAAATTACAATTTTTTTAAAAAATCGAATTAAAAAATATGAAATAAATTGATAAACTAAAAAAATTTCATTAGTATTTTTTTAAAATCGATTTCCGTTATTTGTGAACTTTTTTCCGGTAATAAAACAAAAGGGGGTGAATATATAATTAGTCCATTGCACGTGATTGGAAAAATTAATTCCGTAATTATTAATTAACACCCAATGGACAAAACAAAAAGTAATGAAAAACTAATGTATATCCAAAGATGATCAAGCACTAAGCTTCATTCAAAATTGAAAAGAAACGAAAAGTTTAAACTAAATTAAAAATAATAAACAAATAAAAATAGAGAGAGAGAACCAAAAAAAAAAATTAGACACCATTCATGGAAGGCCAAAAAATTCAGCCACGAAAATCAAGCAAATAAAAAATTAGTATCTCGTTTTCTTCTTTGTTCCCGGCCAAGCTTTTGATTTGTTTGAGAGGATTCGAGTTCCTTGCCTTCTATGAATTCATTGCAGCAACAAAGAGCTAATCCGACGAGTACATAAGTTCAACTCATCGTGACTTAATTCCTGAAGTTTGGTCCATTTAAAAATTTCATCATCGCCAATAGTGAATCAGATTGAACTATGCGTCACAAACAATGCTCACATGGCATTCTCATCAATATCACATAAGATTAACATGAAAACATATTTTTAAAAAAAAATTGAAATCACGAAAAGCAAATAAGAAGTATTTGAGACGGGTCATTCGAACAAGCCAAGGGAAAAAGGGCAGACTATGAAAGGAAGACGGGCATTCACCTAAACGCTAAACTTAAAAGCTTATTTGTATAACTCTAAAAGAAAAATATTTAAATTACATTTAAAATATACTTCTATTAAATCCAATAGATAGTTTAATTTTTCAAATGAACTTTTATCGAATGTAAATTGAAAACTAAATAAACACTTGTTTCACTTCTTCAGCATAGTTTCTTTGGAATGGCTGCAGAATTTTCTTTTCCATCCCTCCTCCAATTTGTTCATAATATTTGGAAATCTCAATCGAGTATTTGACTGCCACTG